AAAAATAACCAGTAGCAAAGGTTTCTAAGGCTAAGTTTCAGATACTCTTTGACACGATCAAGTCAGCAAACCAGAAAATTATTTCACCATCAAATATTCACCAAGTCACACAGGACTGAGAGACCGGAGGTAAGACAGATTCTATTCTCCGAGATCTCAAATGTTCACACATGCAGGAGGGACAAGAGCGGGGGCAAATGGAGTGCAGACAAGGCGGGAATCCTGGAATCATGTTTCACACCCATGTCCTGGAGAGGGACATGCTAACTCAGCCTGGGGCAGTCACGAGGGAATGGCTTCTGGGCTAGAGCCCAGCTGAGGAGCAGGAACATCTGGGGCAGAAAAGGCCTTTCTGTAGGACCCTGCCCAGGGGAGGGTGAGAGGTACAAGTGCCACTGTTGCCACAAAGGCCTAGGGGAGGAACAGGAAACAAACCAGGAAAAGAGGCCTAGAGCCAACTGGAAGGGCAATGGCCCCAGGTGAAGGAGTTAACTGTGCCTCTGTAGTCAAGACTCCGGAAGGGACTGATACTGAAAAGTCAGAAGAGGACTCCTGGGACCTGGCCTAATGGCTGGCTCATTTCCAAGTGCTCTCTATAACAGGAGCCATCCCTATTGTCATGGGACCCAGCCACACCCTCAATATTTCCGGCCAGACGCAATCTCCCTCTCGGCCTCCCCCATGCCAATCCTCCTTCCTACAGCCGTAAGATTGCTCTAACAAGCAAATCTCATCCCATCCTTCTCTGGCATGAAAACTTTAGATGGGAACCTCAAGGACAAAATCCAAACAACTGGGCCTGTATCACTAGGACCCTCCCCAGCCTCGCTTTCTAGTCATACCTCTGCTCCACCCTCCAGAACGCCTTTGCTTCGGCTGCACCCCTGAATTGAACACTCCCCCCACCCAGTGCACTGGCCTCACCCAACCAACAAACTCTGGCCCTTCAGTTCCTCAGCCACACCGGACCCTCATGCACATAGGGCCTGAAGTCATTCCCTGGGGACAGGGAGCAGGGCCGAGGAATTCCTGGCTAATTCCTACCTACCTTTCAGGTCTCAGCTTACGTGTTCCCTCTTCCCATCTTTCACCCATCAGACTGGCACAAATACCCAGTGCTGGTAAGGCTGTTAAGAGAAAGGCATCCTCATACTCTCTTGGTAGAAATATAAGCTAGTACAATCTTTTTGGAGGGCAACGTGGCAATAGCTCTCAAAAAGCAGAATGCACTACATGGCCCTCTGTCACTTTCTTGGGCTGACCAGTGGCAGTATATATAGTATGACTTCCTTCCTATGTCCAGGGAATCCCAGCACTTTAGGAGTGAATGACTGAACTTCACCAATCACCCTCCCCTATAAGGAATGCTCTGGCAGTGGTGAAAGGGATGGCAGAAGACTGGGTTCCTGAAACCGTCAGGGAGGCTGAGCAGGCCCCAGCACCAGGCCCCAGCACCCCCGCAGTGAGCCAGCTCCAGCTGGAGCAGGACTGCAGTCTGGAACACTCTGTACTCGCCTACCATGGCCTACTCTGCAGCATGAGTTCTGACACTGTTCTGGGCCCCAAAGCCAGCGTTTGCCCTCCCAGCTATTCCGTGAGCCACCTACAATCCTTTACAATACAGTCCTCTTTTCTTAAATCATTAATTCTACTGCTTTGCAACAGAGAATTCTGAACAACACACACACACATACCCTAATCCTGATATTCCACTAGGAATTTATCTGAAGTTTGTACTTACCTAAGTAAACCAAGACACATTTGTTGCAAAAATTTGATAACCAAAATATCCATCAATAGAATGGGTCAGTAAATCATGATACAGCCATATAACGCATTTCTATGTAACTGTTATTACAATACAGATCTACATGTGCTGGTAAAGAACTTCTTCAAAACAAGTTAACAATAAAGGAAAAGTGTGCACAGTATGACTTCATTTGTCTATTTTTAATAGGCACAGACTGACAGAGGTATATGGTGTTTCATAAAACATTTTCTGGAAAAAACACAATAAACTTAAGAGTGGTTACTTTGGAGGTGGGATATGAAACACACTTATTTTTCATGTAATATTCCCACTTGAATGTTTTGTCATGTTTGTAAATTACTTTCATTAGAAAATGTTTTAATGTCACTTGCTCAGTAAGGACGTCCCAAACAGCCATTATCCACACAGTCCTTCCTGTTCCTCTCTCTTATTACTGTTCTTTTTCTCCAGGGCACTTAGCACAGTGCATTCTTTTGGATGAATGTATACTTACTTTAATTCCTGTCTCCCACATGTGGCTGTTAAGTTCTGAGGGCATGTGCTGTGCTGACCACTCTATTCCCAGCACCTAGCACAGTGCCTAGCCCATAGTGAATGCTAAACAAGTATCTGATAAATGAACGAAAAGTAACTTATGCTTCTTTTAAGCCTCCGTTCATATGAAGTGAAGCTTTTCCTGAAATCCTCCCATTTCGATGTAATCCTTTCTTCCCCTGGGCCTCCACTGGCCTTTGTACCTACTGCCCTTGTCAGTTTGTACATCTGGCTCCCTCACTACAGTGTGAGGATATTGAGGGCAAGGATCCACGCATTCATCTCTATCTGTGGAGCCTGCCACAGTGCCTAGACACAGAAGGCAAGAAAGAGGTGATAAATAAATGAACAGATGAACAAACTAAAGCTCAAAATAATTATTTACTTGTGTATTAAAATCAAATGTTATGGATAGCTCCTCCTTAATCCGGTCTTTTACAATAACAAAACTAGACTGTGTAGAGCAATGATTTCTAAACACAAGCATGCTATGAACTCAAGGCTGTGGAACCATCACCCTGGGCTCACAGTAGACTTGGAACAGCAAGATCGCTGTTGGCCAGGAGAGAACACAATGTGGGGTTGCCTGATGGCCTGCTGTCAACAACTTTTCCTAAATTCAGGATTGTGCTCAAAAGGCAAATTACTACAGTTCAAAGGCAAAAGAAACCAATTCAATTTTCCCTTCTTAAAAATGAACCTGCTTTGGGACACCTGGGTGCCTCAGTTGGTTAAGCATCTGCCTTCAGCTCAGGTCATGATCCCAGGGTCCTGGGATGGAGTCCCACATTGGGCTCCCTGCTCAGCGGGGAGCCTGTGTCTCCCTCTGCCTGCCACTCTCCCTGCTTGTGCATGCTCTCTCTCTCTCTAACAAATAAGTTAAAAAAAAAAAGAACCTGCTTTGTAATGACATTAAATTTCCTGAATGTGATCATTTTATCAAGGTTATGTAAGAGAACATCATAAAGAATTTAGAGGTGGAAGGTAATGGTGTCTGCTCCTTCCTACTTACTCTCAAATGATTCCACACAAAAAACTAAGAATAAGAACAATAATAATGTATGAGCAAGCGAGAGCAAGAGTGGTAAAATGTTCACTGACAAATATGAGTAAAGAGCATATATGACTGTTCATTGCACATTATGGCTACTTTTCTGTTAGTGTAAAATTTTTTTCAGTTAAAAAAAAGAAACCACTAAATAGAAAAAGCTACTTCACCCTTCCCACTATTTAAAGGCATCAATCAGACAGGGAGAAATAAAAACAGTACTCTGATGGAGAAAACAAATATATTTGAATAAAGCAGTTCAGAACAATTCTAAAATTACTGTAAGTATCTTCATTTTAAAATAATTACAAAGACTCATCCATATGGTATCTGGGGGTAAATCATTCTCCCCAACAAACAGGGAACATCTGTTGTATAAAAACCTTCTAAGAGGCTAGATGACACTATGGAACAGCAAGGTCTCAAACTGGCAATTTCCAAACTATTCAAGGCAGCAGTCTCCTAGCTCTTCAGAGCCAAGGTACCAAGACAAAAAATGTAAGAAGTAAACAAAAGCTGGAAAAATACCAGCTATACACGACCTGTTCAAATTTCTGTACCTAAACAATCTGACTCAGAAATTTAACATAAAAGTTAGAATTTGAAAATCCCCATTTTCTCCTTTTTTCGGTGGTCATTAAAAAAAAAAAAAACTCTTGGGGTGCCTGGGTGGCTCAGTCGATTAAGCTCGGCTCAGATCATGATTCCTGCTTCTCCCCCAGCCCCCTGCTCGCGCACTCTCAAGCGTGCTCTCTCTCTCTCAAATAAATATTTTTTAAGCAAATACTCTTGTCTAGCATTGAGAACTAAAGTACCAAGCTAAAAAGCTGGTCTGAAAAGAGTAACTACTATTACAGGCCAGGCAGAGGGCCAGATTCTTTATATACATTACTTCTAATTATTACAACCTGGCATATACAGTAAATACTATTGACACCATTCCACAGGTGAGGCAATCAAGGTTCAGAAAGGAATAAAATATCTTTGATCTCAGAAATTAAGAGGGGCCCCAGTCACTCTAGCATAAAAAAAAAAAAAAAAAATTTCAAGGCACGTCCTATATGCATGTTCCGGCTATGAGGCCTCCACTCTAGTTTCCCTCCACTGAAACCTCACCTCGAGACCTACCTGGACCATCCTATTTAATATTATAATCTGCCTTCCACCCCAACACTCTGATGTCCCCTTAGCCTGCATTAAGTTTTCTAACTTTTTGTTTTGAGATAATGGTAAATTCACATGCAGATCTAAGAAAGAATACATCGAGTTTCTGTATACCCATGACCCAGTTTTCCCCAAAAGTAGTTATCTTACCTAACTGTAGTACAGTATCACCTGCATTACTTTTTTCTCCTAGTATTTATCACTTTCTAACATTAATATATTTATAGTAGTTGTTGCTATTTTCTGTCTATTCTTACTATAATACAAACTCCTTGCAGGCAAGAATCTTTAAATTTTGTTCACTGCTGTATCCCAAGCACCTACAAGAGGGCCTAATCCGTAGGAGGAAATCAATAAATATATGTAGAATGAATCAAAGCACTATATTGCCCTGGCTCCTCTAACAGGAAATAGACCAGCTCTTTAAGAGACCACCTTGGTAAATAAGAGGATTCTGAAACATCAGGGAAATTTTACACTCACCCATGGTGACATAAGGCAACTTATCAGTTGATCCATGAGGATAGATGCTGTAGAGGTGAGGTCCAGTAACATCTACTCCCCCCAAAACTAGGGCTGCACCAATGTAACCTTGATACCTGGTGATCAGAGTATGTATAAGAAAAAAAAATAAGTCTACATTGCATCACTGTAACTTAACCAAAAGCTGTTTGAGAAGTCAGACAACAAAAGGCTTTTCTTACACTGCTACTGTTTCATGAAGTGGTTACTGTTTTGATGGGAACAAAATGCTGACCAGAAGGAACATAAGTTGGGACATCCACTATCAGCCCATAAAGACTCAATCCTGTGAGGCCCTCCAACATGCCTATTTCCTCAGTCATACAGCTCCCTTTAAAAGGGCGCCTGGGTGGCACAGTCGGTTAAGTGTCCGACTCTTGGATTTGGCTCAGGTCATGATTTTAGGCTCATGAGATCGAACCCCGCATCAGGCTGCAGTGCAGAATCTGCTTCAAATTCTCTCTCAAATAAATAAATAAATAAATAAATAAATAAATAAATCTTCAGGGGTGTTAAAAAAAGAGAGAGAACTGTTCTCATTTTAGAGAAAAGCATTTTCTCATTTTAGAGAAAAGCAACCCAAAGACATTAAGTGCCAGCCCAATCTCCCACAACTGAGCTTGGCTTACTCCAAAATTTATCAGCACCCTTCCCATCACACCTCTCAGGGATCAACTAATCAACTACTTTCAAAGGGAACGCTGAGGAGCTGCTAAACTCAAGCTGTTCAAATTCTCAACCTCACCTGACCATAGCCTCAGAGGAAAATGGCTCATTTGTCAGTGAACCTTCTCTTTTAAATAAATTCACAAAATTATAATCATAGATGTGAGTTCTCATTGAGTAAAAGAAAAATATTTCAACATGCAGGGAAGTGAACGATGAAGTAACTCCACAAGAGCCTCTAAACACATTCCTACTGCCCACAGGATGAAGCAATGCCTCTTCAGGAACAGGGATGGGAATATATTCTCCACCCCACCCTACCTCTATTTAATTGTGCATGTATTTGTTCTTTGGACCCCTCACCTAGGTGGTTTTCTACTTCTACAGATCGCTTTCCCTGTATTTGGTTCCATTTTTTACCATTGGAATTGCTATGCTAAATAAACAAGCTGGATTTAAAGTCCTCCACCACGAGCCTTTAGCTCTTTGGAAAGAAAAATGAAACCAACACATACTGAATTTGCCTAATGATATAATCATTAAAATTGATACAAATAAACACAAGAACCAATCAAAGTCCTAACTGTAGACTGTCGAGATATAACTACTCATCAGGGAGCACTCTTGGTAACCAGAACAGTCAAGTCCAATTATTTCCCCCATCCCTGACTACCAAACTGCTCTTTCACAAAGAATATCCCAAGCGTGCCTGGCTGGCTCAGTCAGTAGCGCACGCAACTGTTGATCTTGGGGTTGTGGTTTTGAGCCCCATATTGAGTACAGAAATTACTTTAAAAAAATAAAATCAAAAGAAAGAAGGAAAGGAAAGGAAAGGAAAGGAAAGGAAAGGAAAGGAAAGGAAAGGAAAAGGAAAGGAAAAGGAAAGGAAAAGGAAAGGAAAAGGAAAAGGAAAGGAAAGGAGGAAGGAAGGAAGGAAGGAAGGAAGGAAAGGATCTTCCAGTTATAAGTGAAAAAGTAAAGAGCAGGAAAGGATTCTAGAAACAGTCTCAAAAGAAAACAGAGGCACAAAAAGAAGAAAAGAAACTGGTCCTAAGCCACATGGGGTAGTAGCGGGGTCAAGACTAGCTCACAGGGCTCTGGGATGAGCAGTGGGAATCACCAAACCCACCACTCCCACCCCAGTCCAGGGCCTGACCCACTACACCAACTGCCTGCCAGACAGGCTGTTTAAATAAAATCAGTAATAATCAGCTAGTTTCCTTCCAAGCTAAAACATAACCTGTTTGATGCTTTTAAAAGAATCTAAGATATTTTGGAAGTTATTATATTCCTTAGATCCAGAAACTCTACTCCCAGGAATCAAATTCTAAGGATATAATCAGACAAATATGCAGAAATGGATGCACAAGGATGTTTACTGCAATACCGTTTATGATGCCGAAAAAGTAGAAACAGAGAACTATTTAAATCAACTGACACAGCTATGCTCTAGATCATCCAGATCACGGGATATTTTCTCATACACCACTGATGGTAGTGCAACTCAGTGCAATATTTCTCAAGGGTGGGTTTGGCAATACGTATCAAAATGTTAAATGTGCATACCTTTGACTCAATAATTCCATTTCTAGGAATTTATTTTAGAATACAGCATGAGGAATTAATCACACAAGTACCTAAAGGTTCTATGTTCCAAAGGGTTCATGGGATACCTTATGATACCTTAAAACTAGCAATACTGTTAAAGTTCAAAACTGGTTAAATTATGGTACATCTAGAGAATGGAATACTGTGATACCACCAAAAATTGATATTGATCAGTGGTTCTTTAACTTTTACAGGTCACAGACCCCTTTGAAAAACTGATTAACACTGTGGAACCCTGACTCATAACAAGTGTACATACAGGTTTTTTACTATGTCAGGAGGGTCACAGGTCTCCAGAACTCCTCTACGAGCTCAAGGTAGAAACTCTGGACACTGAGCTCTTCTACTAACAGGAACAACATTCACAATATACTATTATGTGAATAGGGTCAGTTACAAAACAACACACAGGATTCCACTGTTGTAAATACAAATGTCATAGTATAAAAGGTCTGGAAAAACAGGTCTCAAAGATTTACAATGTATGTGTCTAAGTAACAAAACAGGTGACATTTACTTCCTTCTTTTCACATTTCCACAGTGTTGGAAATTTTTATAATGATCACACATTACTTTTACAATAATTTTTTAAAAGGTGATTTTCATTTTGAAATGCTCCAAATAGAAACTATTCAACACACACTGGTAGATAAAAACATCAGGCTGTATTCCAGGATAGAATGTACAACTATGATCCCATTTTTACAGAAGAAACTATGTATTAGTAAATGGAAAAAAGCTTGAAAGGCCTATAGTAACCTGTTAGAACCAACTGCTTATGGGTGGTAGGAAATCAGATAATTTTTGTATTTTTTTAGTTTATTCCTATCTTTTATCTTAGGTTTTACTGAGAACATGTACTAGTAACAAAGAAGGAAGCAAAGAAGGATTCAACGAATGAGTGAGCCAACAACTTAAAAGACTAGAAGTATATACACCTGACCAAAACATGATTTTCCCTGAACTGAAAAATTTTTATTTTTTCTTTGGGCTTTTCGGTATTTCCCAAATTTTTTACAATGAATATACGTTACTTTCATAGAAAATAAAAACACAACATAATAAATAAAGAGGCTCTATATTTTCAAGGAGTTTCTGGAATACAGAATAAAGAGACCACAAAGATTTCTATTAGACTAGACTAGGAGGCTCATGCTCAGAGGGAACAAGTAACACGTACATCTTCTACATCCAGCCTTCATAAAAGTAAAATAAAAGTACTGCTTACATAAAGCAAAAGATGTCCACTTCTGTTTATCAAACCCCCTCTTCTTACTGATTCACAGACATGGAAATGGATTATTTGGGGAAAAATGGAACAGTAAAAGATGAATACACCTCGTTCTCTTTTTCAGCCTCTGAATTTAGGGGGACCTAACTGTGCATTAGGCCCTGTACTGGGCATTGTCGTAAGCCTTGCTTCTTTATTCATTTCCTCCTCAAAAGTCAGTGAGTCAGAAACTATTATCCTCGGGGCGCCTGGGTGGCTCAGTCGGTTGAGCATCTGCCTTCAGCTCGGGTCATGATCCCAGGGTCCTGGGATCGAGCCCCGCATCAGGCTCCCAGCTCAGCGGGGAGCCTGCTTCTCCCTCTCCCTCTGCCCCTACCCTCTGGTTATGCTCTCTGCATAAAACGCACACTTTCTCTGTCTCAAATAAAGAAGTAATATCTTTAAAAAAAAAAAAAAAAAGAAAGAAAGGAACTACTATCCTCATCTTATTGGGGAAGAAACTGAGGCTAAGAAAGGTAAGGTGAACTGCCCAAGGTCACACAACTCTAAGTGCTTTAGATGAGACCTGAACCAAACTTCTAAAGTTAAATCCTGGGACGCCCAGGTGGCTCAGTCGGTTAAGCATCTGCCTTCTGCTCAGGTCAAGATCCCTGGGTCCTGGGATCAAGCCCCCCATCGGGCTCCCTGCTCGGCGGACAGTCTGCTTCTCCCTCGGCCCTTCACCACACTCGTGCTTGCTCTCCCTCCCTCTCTCAAATAAATAAATAAAATCTTTTAAAAAAGGGGGGGGAGTGAAATCCTATGCTTTTTTCCCTATACCACATTTATATTTTATGTAACTCAACAAAAATATCAGAAGACACATAATGAACCATAATCATCCTGGTTAAATTTTAAAATGTTCCTCTCAGGGCACCTGGGTGGCTCAGTCGTTAAGCATCTGCCTTCGGCTCAGGTCATGATCCCAGGGTCCTGGGATCGAGCCCCGCGTCGGGCTCCCTGCTCAGCGGGAAGCCTGCTTCTCCCTCTCCCACTCCCCCTGCTTGTGTTCCCTCTCTCGCTGTGTCTCTCTGTGTCAAATAAATAAATAAAATCTTTAAAAAAATAAAAAAATAAAAATAAATAAAATGTTCCTCTCAAAACTGATAAAATTTAATTTTTATAAAGTATGTTAAACTAAAAATAATGAAACACTGAAAAAAGTGAATTTAGAATTCCTAAAACATTCTAAAGAGAGATTAACAGAAACACTTATGAGGTTTAGCTAGATGCTTTATATGACATTGGAAGAAATGTTGAAAATCTGCTATTTAACACAACTGTACAAGTTTAAAAATTGTTTTAAATGTAATGCACCACAAAAACCACCAGAGGGAGCTTTAAATTTAAAATCAAATTCACAAATGTCTTCAGAAATCTTGACAACAGATGTGCTTTAACAAGTTCGCAGACTGTATTGGGAGAATTTGTTTGATACACAATAATTCTCCAGGATTAGGATGATGACCATGCACATAAATACATGGAAATCACCCACATAAGGGCTCAGTACAGCCAGAGCACGCATTAGGTAGATACCACTAGGCTTCCCGCCCATAGACTCCTCTAAGTCCTGGTCTTCTCGGTTGTAAAGTGGGAACTATGCTACAGACCTTGCTGCATAGCTACACTGCCTCATATCCACTTGCTGAGAGCCTAGGGCCATGCTAGACTCACAGATGAAGACCAGCAAGCTCACAGAAAGGCAAGAGCCAGGCCGGAAGGAAGTCAAACCAGGCAGGAACTGACAGGAGCACATGCTCCCCCTTCTAAAGGCAACATCTGCCACTCAGTTCCAGAAGATTACTGCCACCTCTTATCCCAACCTCTTTATGAATTTTTTCAAATGAAGCCAGGAAATAATTAATTAAAAAAAAATTTTAAAGCCAGAAATCCAGATTTTTTATTCCTATCTCCCAATTTATAATTATGGGCCACTATTTTTTAAAAAAACACTATGGAGCCCAAATACAATTTCTCTACGAGCTGAATATGGTCTGTGTGCCGCCAGTTTACAATCCTGGCTTTCTATTCCTGCTTCCCTCTAATCTCACAGGCCTGGCTGCAGCTGCTGCTGCTTGGGGTGGAGATAAAGAAAATGTTTTCTCTAGGTTGCTTAATGAATGATGAGGACCAGAATAATAAAGGTCTCCAATCAACTACAAAAAAAAAAAAAAAGCACCATGAATATAGATTCTACAAATCTACAAAGAAGGAAAAGGAGAGAATCTGTTAAAGGTAATGCAGGTCCCAAAAGGAGAAACCAATATTCTAACCCACCAGTGAATGTCCAGGCTATTTCCTAGTTCTGTTCTAATACACTGCCCCTCTTCTCTCTACGAGGAGCAAATCAGAAAACAGAATTTGAAAAAGAGGAGAACTACACAAATGTAAAGTGATGATCTGATTAAGGATGAAAGGGAGACCAAACTAAGAGCAAGCACGGTGGGTGGAAGCCAGCAGGGTGTGAAGGCCAGATCAGGCAAGCAACTACACCTCTGTAAACCTCAGCTTCACTTAAATAATGGAGATGTTGGGGCGCCTGGATGGCTCAGTCGGTTAAGCAGCTGCCTTTGGCTCAGGTCATAATCTCAGGGTCCTGGGATCAAGTCCCTCGTCGGGCTCCCTGCTCGGCGGACAGCCTGCTTCTCCCTCTCCCTCTGCCTGCCACTCTACCTACTTGTGCTCTCTCTCTCTCTCTCTGTCAAATGAATAAATAAAATCTTAAAAAAAAAAAGACTTGGGAAGCCTTAAAAAAAAATATTGGCGATATTAACAGCCCCTATCTCAGAGGGGCCTATCAGAGGATAAAATGAGATCATGCATAAAGAACTAAGCACAGAGTCTGGCACAAAGAGAAAAATACATGTCCATTAATATTAATGTTATTATATCCACTCACAGTCAACTACAAATACAATTTTTCATTTCACTGTTATTTTGCCCCTAAAAGAGGGAGAAAAAAAAAACAACTGTTTTTGTCTATGTGTGTTCAAAGATGAACTAAAGGTTCTGTCCAGTTCTAACTTTCTTACTATAAATAAAAAAAAATTTAATCCAGTAATGCCCTATGCTTCCAGAAATGACTGTTGGTCACATGTGATTTATTCATGGGGGGGGGGGGAAAAACAGAACCCGGGGCGCCTGGGTGGCTCAGTCATCGAGTGTCTGCCTTTGGCTCAGGTTGTGATCCCAGGGTTCTGGGATCGAGCCCCGCATTGGACTTCCTGCTCCATGGGAAGCCTGCTTCTCCCTCTCCCACTCTCTTGCTCTGCTATCTCTCTCTCTGTCAAATAAATAAATAAAATCTTTAAAAAAAACAAAAACAAAACTAGATCCCCAAAATTCAAATACATCATCAAAAGCCTTCTGTTGTTAAAATGGTAACAACTGACTTCTAGAATAAAATGTGTATTTCTGAATACTTTTTCTCTAGCTTCCAGGATCCCCTCAGCTGAAAATCTAAGATAGGAGAAAAAGATACTACAGAAATCCCCATCCTGGAACAAACATAGTGATCCGAAGCAGCACCTCCACCCCAATGTTTATAGCAGCAATGTCCACAGTACCCACACTATGGAAAGAACCCAGATGTCCACCGACAGATGACTGGATAAAAAAGATGTGGGATACAATGGGATATTACTCAGCCATCAAAAAAAAAAAAAAATCTTACCATTTGCAATGACGTGGAGGGAACTAGAGGGTATTATGCTAAGTGAAATAAGTCAATCAGAAAGACAATTATGATTTCACTCACATGGAATTTAAGAAACAAAAGAGAGGATCATAGGGGAAGGGAGAGAAAACTAGAATAAGACAAAATCAGAGAGGAGACAAACCATAAGAGACTCTTAACTCCAGGAAATAAACTGAGGGTTGCTGGAATGGTGGTGGGTAGGGGGATGGGGCAACTGGGTGATGGGCATTAAGGAGGGCACATGACGTAATGAGCACTGGGTGTTATATGCAACTGATGAATCACTGACCTCTACCTCTGAAACTAATAACACACTATAATTGAATTTAAATAAAATTACCAAAAAAAAAAAAAAAGAAACAAATCCCCACCTGGAACCTTACCTGAAAAGCATCTGTTTCAGCATCCGATTGGCTGTCACAACCCTGGGAAGGCGGCCAGTGGAGAGGGAGTGGAGCTCCAAATTGGAAGAAATGAGCTGGGTTGTCATGTCTGTGTCTGCAGCTGTCCCAGCACCACAGCAACTAAAAAATACAATCAGAAACTTAGCTGAAATTCAATTACCAAAGGGATCAATTAGAAGTGGAGCTTCTTGGATAACTTCCACTAAGTTTAGGTACACAGAGAGATGTTTCTGAGTATATTCTGCACTGTAACTACCCTGTCTAACCAATCTTAAATAAACATAAAACTGAGAATATGCATCTAGTCCTATGTAAACATATTTTCTGTGGCCCAATAGAACATTTCAAATCATTAGCTTCTGTGCTTCTAACAGAGTCTGCATTTTACTAATCCTAAAAATATATTCAAGTTGTACCAAAGAGCAAGGCATGTTAAAAGCCTTGCGATTTAACATTTACCAAATATTTACTACCAGGTACCAGTCATGACAAAGTGCTGAGAATAAAGAAAATATGACACAATCCTAACATTTGATTTCAAAGTTGAGTGAAGGAGACAAAAGTAGGCAAAAATTCTAATACCTCGTATAATACAATATAGTAGCATAGGTACAAAACGCTATGGGAAACAGGAGGAGACAGCAATTAATTCTGATCTTAGAGAAGAGGTCTCACATGAGCTGGATTTGAAAGAATAAAACCACACCGTATAAACAAAAAGGAAAGGGTAATTCTAGGTAGAGGGACTGGCAAAAGCAAAGGTGAAAGAGCTTGGAGATGAGAGGAACAGGAACAGTCTGGGTGTAACTGGAACACAGGGGGATGGCAGCTAAATAAGGTGAAAAGGTAAATTTTTCTGACACTGGGCAAGATCTTAAATATCATGCTACAGAGTTCCAATTTTATTCCGAAGGCAGTGTGAAAATGTGAGAAGTCTCTTGAAATATTTTTAGGGCGCCTGGGTGGCTCAGCTGTTTAAGCGACTGCCTTCAGCTCAGGTCGTGATCCTGGAGTCCCGGGATCGAGTCCCACATTGGGCTCCCTGCTTAGCGAGGAGTCTGTTTCTCCCTCTGACCTCTCCCCTCTCATGCTCTCTCTCTCTCTCTCTCTCAAATAAATAAATAATCTTAAAAAAAAAAAAGCATAACCATATGTTAAAAAAAAAGAAATATTTTTAAAGAGGAAAGGAACATAATCAGATCTGTGTTTTGCGAAATCCAATATGGCAAAAGGGCAGATAATAAAGAGACCAAAGGCAGAGAGATCATTTAAATGATAACTGCAATAGTCCAGATGAGAAACAAGAATGTGAACTAAGGCTTTAGCGGAGGGAATGGTTTCAAGAGGCACACAGAAAGCAGAACTGGAGACCAAGAGAATTAAAGACTAAAACAATTAAAGCAAAGGAGAACTTGCGGATGACCAGCTTAGGTGACAGGCAGATGAAAATATCACTTAAGGGAGATAAAACAGAAAATACAAGTTAAACAACAGGTTTTAGTGATGAACAAAGTAAATTCCATTTTAACCCTGACATGTTTGAAAATATGAGCTATTCAAACTAATTGATACTTACTAAATGTTAGGAGATATGAAGTGTATTTTTGAACAGTTCTTGTCCGCAACAACCATCCCTTCAGTTGCCCTTGTATCTGCTCCAAGAACTATGCCATCCTATTTTTAAAAAAAACATACATTTAAAACAATTTCACATATATAAACCACAGCTCTCTACTCTAGTTTAGGAAAAACAATGTTGGCCATCCCGTGTTTTCCCCAAACCTCCACCCCGCACTGAAACTCCTACCAAAAAAATTGTGCTATACTTTCAAAATTCAAGAAAAACCTTGTTAATTAACGTTATAGGTTGAATGCCAAGTAGGTGGTAGGAATTATCACTCCTGTTTTCAAATGAGGCTCACAGATTTAGTGAATTCCTTACAAATCACAGACCTAATATGAGAAATGTCTGGATTAAAATGCAGAAATCCTCCCATTAGAATAGCCACCTCTGTCGATTTCTTTTTAAAAGACATCACTCTTTAACAACAATAACCATTATTTCTCTGGACCCCTTCAACAATTTAAGGCAGGAGTTATTCGGTCCATTTGATGGACGGTGAAGTGTGGCTGTGAGAAGGAAAGTGACTTGCCCAAAGTTGGAAGCAGCATCAAAGTTAAATGGTTAGACCTGTCTGATCCGAAATCTTGTGTTTTCCCAGCATATATCCCCGGTTCCCAACGTAGTATCTCAAGACAGAAAAGTACTTATCTCCTGTCAAAAATTCTAAAAAGTGAGGAAAGAATATAAACTGTTGATAAGCACACAAAACCTCCCGACAAATCCTGACGGACCTTTCCCGACGTATTCTGAAACATGAACCCTTCCTGACAGAGCTCGGACAAGTAAAAGGAGGCCAAGTGGCCTGGTTCCTGTCATCAGTTCAGTCACTGCTGCTCCCGGCCTGTGCCGGCTTACCTTATAGACCACCCCCGCGATGGTCGTGCCAGTTTTCCGGGCCGCTGGAAGCTTGTACCCTCTCTTCGCAAAATCGGCTTCCAAGACGGCATTTCTGAAAGAAAAGCAGAGAATGAAGCATGGAAGGGCAGGACCACACTGCGCGGCACTGGCACCAAGAGCGTCTAATAGGGAACTCGGGAAAAGAAAAGCTACTATTTATTCGCTTTCAAGCCCATCCGTTCACTGAATCCCCCCAAGATCAGGACTACTGTCGCGTTTTTCGGCGTGCAGAGCGTCGGAGAGGGGCTGCATCTCGCCTCAGGAGACAGAGACGGAGACTGGTATGATGCGCTGGGCAAGGGGAAGGGCGGGCTCGGCCTCAAGAGAAACCCACTCTCAGGCCCTCATTCCCCTGAGTCACACGGGACGCGGGGCACAGGCCTCAGGCCCCGCCGTTCACCCTTCGTTTGGACTTCCCAGATCAGACCGCGGCCCAGCTCCGACCCCGGCACCGCACTCCCACTCCCGCCCGGAACCTGGCCCCGGGCATGGCCGCACCTGCGACAGTTATCAAAAGAGAAACCTCCAATCGGCCGCTCGTAGACTGACACAGCCGCCATCTTTCCGAGAAAGTATTTCCGCCGGAGCGCCGGCAGAAGTGAGCAAAGAGAGCCGAGCACTTCCGGCGCCTGCGGCGACCTGGGCTGGAGGGGCGGGGCAAACTCCGCGCCAGGGCCATTAATCTTAGCGTTATGGGCTCCTAGAGGAGCCCACACATGCTTGGAGTATCTCGCCCCAAGTGGCGCGGAGGAGTAACTAACGCCCGGAGCGGAGAAAGGACTTGTCCAAGTTGGTCGCGTGGGAGACCAGACTCCTGTGGACCAGACCAGAACTGTTTCTGCTGTTATTTAGATTCCATGGGGATTAGGAGACAGACACGACCAAGTTCCAGGCACAGCGCCACCGGCTCCTTGCACTGAGCAAGTCCTCTCAACTCTCAATCTCTTTCCCCTGCTGCCAAATGGAGAGAAGAGCTACCTCAAAAGGCTTGTGAGAAAAGAAGAAGATGAGAAGATGCCCAACATCATTAGTCATTAGGGAAATGCAAATCAAAACCACAATGCGATACCAGTGCACACCCACTAGGATGGCTATAATCAAAAAAGACCGAAAATAACAAGAGTTGGTGGTGATGTGGGGAACCTGGAACCCTCATACGTGCCTGGTGGGAAACCATTTGGTAGTTCCCCAGAAAGTTAAACATAGACCCGGCAATTTGTCTCTAAAGTATATACCCAAGAGAATCAAAAGCATATGTTCACAAAAACTTGTACATAGATATTCATAGCAGCATTATTCAGCATAACCAAATAATGGAAACAACCCAAATGTCCATCAGCTGATGAATGGATAAGCAAAATGTGGTACGTCCATACAACAGAATATTATTTGGCCATAAAAAGGAAGGAAGCATTGATACATGCTACAACAGGAGTGAACCTTGAAAATATTGTGCTAAGTGAAAGACACTAGGCACACACACACACACACACACAAAAAACTGAGTATAGTATGGTTCCATTTCTCTGAAATCCATACTAGGCAAATCCATACAGTCAGAAACTAGATTCGTGGTTGCTAGGAAATCGGGGGAGGAAAAAATGGGGAGTGACCGATGGGCACGAAGTCTCTTTTTGAGGTGATGAAAATGTTCTGGAATTAGGCTGTGGTAATGGTTACATGACAATGTGAATAAACTAAAACCCACTGAACTGCACATTTTTAAATGGTGAACTTTCTGTTAGGTTCATTTTATTTCCATTTGTAAAAGGCTGCTGTGAGAATTGAAAATTGTCCATGAAAAGCGTGTATGCCAGGCATATAGCAGCTTTTCAATAAATAGTTATTAATGTTAATACATTCATTACATAGCAAGTAAACAACGGCCTCAGTAATGGCGGAATGAAGTTACAGAGTCTGTCACAACCATGTGTTCAATAAATATTTGTCAAAAGTTAAATCCTCTTTCATTACTTTTCTGGGTCTTTTGTGCAGAATTAGGAAAGTAAAGCCTCACCTACCTGCTTCCACAGGAATCTACTGATGAAAAAGTCCTGAGTGTCTCCTTTGGTGAATGTCAAAAGTAAGAAGATCTAGGCTCTGCTCTAGAGAAGTCCATTTCCTGATGACAGAGACTCATGTCCATAAGACCTAGACAGGACAGGTCATAGTTTGATATGCCCTGGGCACTGTGGGGGTCAGCAAATAATCTGAGGATGAAGAACTTCTTCTATAACATTCATCAAACTCTCTCACTCCTGTACTGGGTTCAGCCCCAAAGGAATGAACACAAGATGGACCGGATGTACTTCTTCTCCTCGTGTTAGGGGCTGAATTGTGCCACGCTAAAATTCTTATGTTGAAGGCACAACCCCAGTACCTCAGAATGTGACCTTATTTGGAGATAGGGCTTTACAGAGGCGATCGAGTTAAAATGAGGTCATTACGGTGGATCCTAATCCTGTATGACTGTTGTCCTTATAAAAAGGGGAAATTTGCCGACAGACATTCACGCAGCGAGAGCTACATGGACATGAAGGCAGAGATGGGGTGATGCTTCTCCATGCCAAGGAACGCCAATGATTGGCAGCAAGCCGCCAGACCTACCAGGCGAGAGGCCTGGCACAGCCCTCAGAAGGAGCTAATCTTGCCAACACCTTGATTTCAGACTTTAGCCTCCAAAACCATGAAATTGTTGCGGGGAGAAGAGAAGCCCCCAGAAGCCTAGAGGCTCAGAAGGACAGAGCGCACTCATGGAATGAGAAGGCAGGAGGGACAGAATATGAGTGAGGGCTTGGGGTATGGAACAAACAAAACCAAACAAAAAACCCTGGGTGCGCATTGTTTTCAGGGAACAGTGATGAATCTGATGGCAGCCAAGGAAGCATAGCAGCCTGCAGCCCCTGGAGGGTGGGGGCAGGGCGCCTGTGTTTTGCCATAGCGTCTGGGTGGGAGCGGGAGGAGCCAGGGAAGGATGTGGAAATGATCAGTGATCTCGGTTTGTCCCCGGGCATTCCTCTTCTTACCTGGATCCCTTAGGTATGGGTTTCACACCCAGACAACTGAAGAGGTGGCACTGCCGGTCTTCGAGCCTCCAGAGGTGGCCCAGCAGAGGGCGACAGAGAGCCTCCAGGCAGCCTGGGCCTGGACCTTCAGAAGCCCAGCCCAAAGCCAGACAAACTCCACACAGCCTAGGACCGGGTCCTCAGTACCTCCAGCTCAGTACCTGCAGCTCTAGGTCCCCGGTACTCAGAGACCCCCTGCTTCAGCCTCCCTGTCCAACATGACTCCTTCCCCCTAGGACTGCAGCCCAGTCCAGAATGCCCTCCCCAGGGCCCGGACACAGTCCCACTTAATCCCCAGCAATGGTTTGCCCCAGGCAAACCTGACAGACCAGTAAACGCACCACCTCTGCTCTGGATTTGGCTGTGTGATCTCAGGGGAACCACCAAGCTCTCTGTGCCTCAGTTCCCTAATAATGGAGTAACAACTCACCTTCCCTGAGAGCACCCAATCTACTTTATATACAGGAGCTCATGATCATCTTAGGCACCTAAGATTGTGCCAGCACCGGGAAAACAGATGATCAAGAGACAGACACGGTGCCTGCCCTCCGGAAGGTACCAGTCCCAAGAACCAGGCATCATTGCCCCACTTTACAGATGAAGCAACTGAGGCCCACAGAGGGAAAGTCAATGATTCAAGGTCACACAGCTGATAAGTGGCAGAGTTAAAATTCAAACCACATGCCTCTCAGCCCCAGACCAGTCACAGCACCACGTTGCCCTTCCCCGGCGCCCAACAATTATGGCCCAGCTGAAACCCAAGTTCCCGTGTTCCCTGGGGCTCTGCCAGAGCAAAAGCAAGGTTTCCTCCTCAAGGACTCTCATCCAGCCCGGCTATTTCCCAGCTGTGTGATTGTAGGCCGGTCTTTTCATCTGTCTGAATCTCAGTTTCCTGGTCTGTAAAATGAGAGAACATTACATTACATACAGTGTGTCCCTTACCTTGTGCATACTGAGTAAGGAGACACACCATAAATGAAAGCACTTCATTCATTCATTCGTTCTTTCATTCAGTATTTATTAAGCCCCTCCTTGGTCCCAGGCTCTGGGGCCAGATCACAGCCTTAAGGGGCGCTGGTCTGGAAACTAACTTCAGTTCCCTGCCCTAAGTGCCCTAAGGGACATGTACCAGAGCACAGCCAGGAGAGAGCTCCCAAGAGGGTCTGAGGCAGCAGGGTGGGCACCCAGAGGACAGGAGTCAGCACCGAGACCAAGAGACCAGAGTGTGCCTTTCCACAGAGAATTCAGCTGTGCATGGCCCTCTGCATCGGGGAGGGGTTTCCAAGGGCCTGGCAAGCTCCCTCCCCGCAACCTGTAGGCTGCTAGGAATCCAGCATGGGATAGGTCTTAGAAGTTTCACTCCTGTCCTCTGTCAGGACACACACACACACCCAGGGGTGCCCCCCACAAGGAGACTTGGCCAATTTCCCACTGCAGAGAAAGCAGCCCATGATGCTCCTGGTTGCTAAGGCAACTGGGCCCTTGTTTTTCCTTCCTCAAAAATAAGCTATAAATAGACAGGGCAAACCTGGGCGCCTTCCTTTGCATGAATTAGAGCAGCTGCTCCAGGCTTCAGGGGTTGCTGGCAGAGCACCCAGGGGCCGAGCCTCACCGCCCAGCCACAGAAACACAGCTTCGGTGGGAGGGCACAGTGGGGCACATGATCGTGTCTCAGTGTGGATTCCCACCACCGTCTCCAGACTCCCTGGGGCACTTAGCAGATTTGGAGGCAACAAGACCCACAGAATCCCAATTGCTGTAAGCAGGGCCTGGGATGGGTGTTTAACTACCTGTCCCCAGAAAATGAGAGGAGCCCTGAGTTTAGTGACCCCAGCTGATGGTGAGCAGGAGTGGGGCTTTTTCCTACCTAGGGATTTGTGCAAGTCTCTGGGAAATCATGAGACTACCTCCCACTTCCATAACACATTAGCATTTACCAGTCCTTTCTCTACCTGGTTTAACCATCATGATTGACACCCACAGGGAGCTGTCCACGTGCCAGGTGCTCCTTTAAGCACTGTACCTTCCACAACTCCATGAATCCTTCCAACCACCCTGGTAGTGCTGCTAGATTTCCAGCTCTCCGGTGGGGAACTGTCAGCTGGGAGACAGGAGGTGCCTGGCCCAAGGTCATGCAGATGGTTAGGGGAAACAGAATTTGAACCCAGGCCTGTCCTGTCCATTTGTTCTTAACCCTGGCCTCTCCTTTCAATGTATCTGGTTCTCATAATAACCCATGAGGTAAGGGATCACAGGTGGGATGCCCTGAATGGGGAGGAACCAAAAGAGAAACTGAAACTCAGAAGGACTAGGGACACACAGTGAGGAGGAGTCAAGGCTGAGGCTTGGGTCCCTGGAGGGTGGGCTGCAGAAAGTGGGATTGTTTTCATTACAGAAAATTCAGGTAGACGTGAATACCTGGTTGGTGAGGGCAGGTCCCGTGAAGCTGACACCAGATCTTTGAGGAAGACGGCAGGGAGAAGAGCTTTCCAGATAAAAGGACAGCCTGTACGAAGATGTGGAGGAACGGTAGGACTCGCC